TTGTTGTTGTTGTCGTTGTTGTTGTTGTTGTTGTTGTTGTTGTTGTTGTTGTTGTTGTTGTTGTTGTTGTTGTTGTTGTTGTTGTTGTTGTTGTTGTTGGGTGTGTTGTGTGTCAAGGTGTTTATAAGGTACCTGTGTGCACCTGTTGTTGTTGTTGTTGTTGCGTGTGTTTGTGTACCCAGTAAGAAAGCGTATTCAATATGTGGTTAACGTTTATGTTTTTGCTCATAGTGGAGTTTATAGCCACCGTAAGCAAGACTGTAGTAGCCCCTGACAGTGACTGACTATCACTGAACATAGAGCGAGACCCAATCAATAACGGGTTCAATACGTTTTTGCAACGCGTAACTGTGCCAATGCATAAGTAACCCATCCCGGAGCCAGATATGTTCTTCGGACCGATTGTGGTTGAAGGTATAGTTGAAAATGTGCACGGCCAGAAAAGACTTGCCAGGATTCGACTGTGAACGTTGTGTATAGAAGCGAGTGTGAACGTTGTGTATAGAAGCGATGCATAGCCACTCAACGTATTGCGACTACAACAGAAGTGCTGCTGTGTCGGCCGGCAGGCGGCGTTCCACATATGTCTGTACGACAGGGTGGATTGATACCTAAAATAGGATAAGGGTTTTAGGGTTTTAGAGTTTTATCAAGTCTGTGCTCTGATCTAGTAAACGCAGATACATACGGAGGCTCAGTGTTCGTACATTCGCTTCGTTATGTAATACAATACACAACGACGTACCAGTACGCGGCATGAGGTGCTCTGTACTATTTATGAATTGTGGCGGCGATAATGGCGGCGTCATAGAGGTGACCGACTGGGCGTGCGTGGCATAGAGAGAGGTTACTTGCAGCACTCCAAACGTGCCGATACACGAACGGATGAATCGTACAAAGCCATTATCTGTGGCTTTTTCTGTTGCTGGGGCCAATACACGAACGGATGAATCATACATAGCCATTAGCTGTGGCATTTTCTGTTGCTGGGGGCAATACACGAACGGATGAATCATACATAGCCATTAGCTGTGGCATTTTCTGTTGCTGGGGCCAATACACGAGCGGATGAATCATACATAGCCATTATCTGTGGCATTTTCTGTTGCTGGGGCCAATACACGAACCGATGAATCGTACATACAATTATCGGCGGCATTTTCTGTTGCTGGGGCGGTACCTACAATTAGACTACTACATGGCGTGGCAACAGTAGTCTCTTCACTTGTGATACTCTCGTGTCGACCTGTGTGGTTACATAGCAGTAGCAGTGTCAGTGTCATAGCACACAACTATCTGTGTGCGCGTATATGGTACCACATCAAAGTTTATGCGGATGGATGGATCCATAATCTCGTTTAAAACACATTCGCGCCTGAACGCCTGCATATGTCCGGTTCACGTCCTTCGTTTAACTTCCTCAGTCGAATACCGTCGCCATACAACACGTCTTGTAGCACGTTTAATCCTGTTCCTGTGAGTACTGAGAGCGCTATTATACGCCCCATTTGCCTTGTGTGTAGGTAAACTAATCGTCGCCACACACGACAACGAACGCCCCCGCCTGATGAAGATAGCCGCACAAGCCACGGCCAACGGGGTGCATGATCTACAAATGCTCCATTGCATGGTAGGTATGATCTACAAATGCTCCATAGCATGATAGGTATGATCTACAAATGCTCCATAGCATGGTAGGTATGATCTACAAATGCTCCATGGCATGGTAGGTATGATCTACAAATGCTCCATAGCATGGTAGGTATGATCCACAAATGCACCATAGCGTGGTAGGTATGATCTACAAATGCTCCATAGCATGGTAGGTATGATCTACAAATGCTCCATAGCATGGTAGGTATGATCTACCCCATGTAGTATGTATCTACACCTCATTGGCATCTCATCTACACGTCGTTTGCATCGCTTGTGCCTAGTTTGTCGTGCCTCTGAGCCAGGCCCTGTCCTGAACCTCTGTCTGCAGGGCCAGGTGCATGCCAAACAACCGGGCATCTCTGCGGTGGGCGGGTTGTGGTCTCCATCAACGGGCATTGTGGACAGCCATGGACTCATGCTAGCACTGGTACGTGACGGTCTACTGCATATATATGTATCTGTACATATGTATGTATATGTGCATGTGTATGTATCTGTACATATGTATGTATACGTACAAATGTATTTATATGTACATATATATGTATCTGTACGTATATATGTATCTGTACATATATATATATCTGTACATCTGTATATATATGTACTTATATGTATTTGTAGTAGTGCATTGCGATGCACATGAAGTGCTACTACAGATGGTGTGTATAGGCGTGGTTCTGAATTCTCTGGACGCTGATGTCGTGAGACTACAACTGCCTGGGCCTGTCCAGATATGCGTGCGAGGGTTGTGGAGCTTTTGTGCCCTACATGCTCTATATACTGATATATTGTGCATATATGCATGCATGTGTATTTTGTTGATGTTTTGGGCCATGTATGCCTGATATACTGATATATTTATACGTATATGCATGCATGTGTGCTTTGTTCTTATTTTGGGCCGTATATTCCCTATATGCAGATATGTCTTTGTGTATAGGCATGCATGTGTGTTCGTAGCAGTGTTATGTATGTAGGTGCCATCGGCTCTCATGCGAGTATTATAACCCCACAAAGCACATGGTCAGACAACAACGCTATTGTCACTTCCTGTGGGCAGGTTAGTTCTCTTTTGAAAGTCTCAACAGTGCACGCTGTTAACGCTTGTCTTTCGGTCGCATCTCGCACAGCTATCTGATGCCGAGCAAAATGGAGCGATTGTCGCATTAAACAGCACCGTGACAGACATCCACGTAGCTCATGACTCATCAGGCGCACGTGCTACGAACGGAGTGGGGAGTCAATGCGATAGGAGAAGTGGCTCAGACACGCCCATGTATATCACTGTGGAGTCAGAAGGGTACGTCTGGACACCAGCCTACCCGTGGTTATTGGGTGTATATATATAT